TGGTTTGTGCGTCTTCGGTCGTGTTGGTGCTCTGGGGTAGGTGTTTCCATTCCATGTTGTCTTCAGCCAGGTTCTCCACCAAATCTGGTGCTTGCCTCTTTACAGATGCTTCTCTAAAGCACCCCTTTTCCTAGCAGGGTTCCATTAACACTATCAGGAACACCAGCCTTCAAAGTGGCTTTTTTGTTTACAAGAGGAGAAGAAAATGACATTCATGCAGAGTTAAGTTTGAATGTAACGGAGTTAATGTGAGCAGAGAAAATACGTTACTGCTAAGTAGACTTAGGTTACAAAGCGTGTGCTTTGATACGCACACAGGCTCTTTACCGTATCCAGTTCACTGTTGCTTTGAAATTTGCAATGTAATTTAACGTTTAGTTGCCTCAGGGAGGATGTGCAGACCGTTAAGCAGTGCGTGTTAGCACTAGTTCTCTATGCAGTCTGTGCAAACTGGAGTAAATCGTGTTATTGCTATTAGTTTTTCTTCTGCAACCAAGAAAAGGTTGGTTAGTTCTGCCCATACAGCTACAGTCGATGTGCACGTATGCCTACAGCTCCGTGTGTGGGTGCACATCTGCGTGTGTGTGTCTAATGTAACTGGAGTAAAGCATGATCCAGTAACTCCTTCCTTACTCCTCCTAGAAAGCTGGTGCTACCCATGGAGGTGATGGTATGGGAGAATTGGAATCTGGCTAGTTCCAGGATAGGTCCCGGGATATTACAGTGCTCAAGAGAGCGGGTTAATGGTATCTCAGAGGCTGGGGATGAGGGACAGCAAAGTCAGCATCTTCAGTGAGCCAAACTCAAGGCTTTGGAGATGGGTTTGGACAGACAGAACCCAGTATTGTCTAGCCCAGGGGACAAATGTCAGCAGGGATTTAGTCTGAGATGTCATGCTGAAGCTATTCCTTTTCTTATCAAGTCTTTAGCTTCACAGACAATGATTTGTATCTTGTTTGGGAGAGCAGTATTTTATAGTTGCCAGTGTTAGTACAGATCCGATCGGAAGCATTTTGAACAGGAATGTGTGTAAAATCGCTAACTCCTCCCACTGCCAAATTTACTCATGTCCAAGCCCCTTGGTTCCCAGTGCTCCTTATGAAACCTAGAAACAGGAAGGGTGGTGAATCCTCCCAGTTTGTTTTGAACACATTACCAGATTAAAACATCCAGACCTTTTAAGTTAGCACAAACAGCGAGCTGTTCCTGTGCACTTAAATTCTGGGCTTTCTCTCCTACCAGACTGTAATCGCTACTGTAACAGGAGCATGCTCAGCATGCATGGGAGAGAATGAACAATGCCTCTGAAGTGGCATCAATTACTATGGGAAAAATTAAAGTTGTGGCAAAGCAGATGCTGGAGAGGTGAATCTGCATAAAGTGATCACCCTCTGTTAATTATTACGGATTACTTATATCTCAGAGAAGGAAGCTTGGTAAAATTTGACATTTGAGACTTAGCTGTTGTCAGAGGGTGCTGCTAACAAATGGTTTTCCATTGGTGATGATGTGATCATAAATGCCAAGCTGTGGATAACTGATGTCTCTCTAATTCTGTCTTACGCTTCTTCTCTGCTGCTCCTTTTCCCTAGCTGGTTTTTGTTCTGCAGTATGTGTTGAAGTTCCATCAGAGACAGAGGCTGTCCAAGGAAAGGACATGAAGCTGCTCTGCATCTCCTGCATGAGGAGGGAAGAGGTCACAGCCAATACGGTGGTGGAATGGTTCTACAGGCCGGAGGGTGGAAAAGATGAACCTGTATGTATGTCTGATAGCTGAGCCCTTGTTTTCGTAGGTCTTACTGTGAAACACAGTTCAGTGAACTCATGTGGGAGAAGCCAAAAGGTACTTGTGAGAATGTAAGTCTGTCCTGCAGCAGAAGCCCCAAGGAAGACTGTATAAGGGAAGGAGAGAGACCCAAATACGAACAAAAGCTTTCTGCCACATTCTTATTGAAAGTCTATAGAAATGCCCAGCAGGCTGCTTTCATGTCATGGAGGAGAAATGAGCTTGGAGTTCAGCTCTGAGCTGCAGATCTTCACAATGTCTGCCGCATTTTCACCCAGAGGTCCCACACCACCAATTCTGAACAGTAACTAAAGTGTCTTTTCCTCGCTTAGCTGATTTCGACACTTGGGCACAGCATCAGCTTATGGCAGGAGAAGCTAAAATCTATTGCTGAGTTCAAATATTTGGGGTCGTACAGACATGAATGCCAATTTCTCGTTCCATTCCTTGAATACGTAAAGTCTAGCATGTAAGGAGATCAAGAAGGGAAACAGAAGTGTGGAGTGACACCTGGTACCCTTGGCCAAGTCTCTCCCTTCTTAGGACACTTCTGAATCCCAAAGTTGTTCTTTGGAGGTTAAATCTGGGATCTGACAAATCTGCAGGACAGGATTTACGTCTTTTTACCTCAGAGAAAGCAGTGGTATCCTGACTGTGCGAGGATGTCTGTGAGTCGTTTTGGATCCCTGTCAGGAAAAGGTAAAATTTGTTTTCAGAGTGAATCAAAATGGGAATCGTACAGACAAGGGGCAACTGGAATTCAAGAAAGAATAGTAAAACAGAGAGTAAGATTAAGGCCGTGCGCTCACATTTCTTTCTAGCTGTTTTATCTGAGTATGAAGTATTAGATCAGTGGTTGCATTTCATCGCGATTGAGCGGGGCCAGGCAAGATGGCAAATATTCTCTTACTCTCTGAGAACCAAAGGGAATGAGATGGGAATTCACTTCCAGTGACCTGCGTGATACATTTGCCAGTGGCAACCCACAGAATGCTAATGAAAGCGAGCTGGGGCAAGCAGCTTAATGACGGGGTCTGCGGTCAGCTAGAAACTTGCACGAGATAAGGCATGCAAAAGCCACCCCAGCTCTGTTCTTCTGACATACCGTTTTCACGCTGTTATATTTATCCTGGAACACTCCCATTTCAGCTGAATATCCCAGGGCTTACCAAAAATGACTGTTGATCTTTGCTACATATACTCTGTGTTCCTTCCTAAGATGATCTTATGTGCAGTGACAGACAGGCTAGGCACGTAGACTGCAGGATCCTAGTTTTCAGTTCCATTGCTGATGTTTCGCATCGTCGTCCACACGTGTATCTCTTTTTCTGTGACTTAAGTTTTTCTACCTCTGTAATGGAGATAATTCAGTTTTCTGTCTTATGTAAAGTAGCCTGAGATTTTGAGGTAAAGGATGATATAGAATATGAATAGCTGCTGTTACTAAGGAAACCGTAGGCCAGAACATACACATGTGTAGCTAGAGGATGATGTTTTCCCTTGCATATGCTGTGTTGTTGTCTGAGGTGCGAGTCAGTGATTAATCAGAATGCCCTTTCACATTTCCTCACAGATCTACGAGTACAGGAAAGCAAACCATGAATTCCCAAGCCGCTTCAGTGGTCGGTTACAGTGGAACGGGAGTAAAGACATGCAGGACGTATCCATCACTGTGTTAAATGTCACCTTGAACGATTCGGGTATCTACACCTGTAACATCACCCGGGAGTTTGAGTTCGAGATTCACCGACCTCTCTTCACAAGCTCCAGATTGATCCACCTCACCGTGGTGGAGGAGGGTATGAAGGACTGGCAGACAGTCTGTTGTGCCTTAACGCGCTGCGGGTGTTGTCATCCATGTCATCCGGGGATACAGGTTTTCATTGCATTGCAGGAGAGGGGAGACTGAGCTGCCAGATAATTGTGTCTGTCTTTGCCAGCAACAAAGACTACACGAGGTTCAGGAGGAAAGACCTGCATTTTGTTTGCTGGCTGCAGCCTCTTTTTAGGCTCAGAGTGGTCGTGTGCGAATGTGGGAAGGTATAATGAGCTTGGCAGGCTGGGGCAACAGCTGGGAACAGCTGGGCAGGCACAGGAAGCAGGCGGAGGTTTCCAGTTTCTTCGCTCGGAAGCCTCGCTTCTCCCGCGGTGGCTCTAGCATGCTACAGCGCAGCCTTTGCCAGGCTACCCACAGCGTCTGCTTCCTTGCTTCCACCCCCTCCCTCTTGGAACGACACATTCTCCATTTTGATACCAGTCTCTTGCTTCCACCCTCTCCTAATCCCTCCTTCCCTTTGCAGTGCTCCCGAGTTTTTCTGTTCCTCTTGGGTTTGCTCAGTTCAGTGCTGAAATCCTGGCTTGTTAGAAATCAGCGGGAATTCTGCCATTCTCTTCAGAGTGGGACAAGAACTTTTAGCCCTCATCTGTTTCCGCTGTGTCTTTCCTTCCCTTCTTCCCCACGAGCGTATCTGCATTTTGATCTCTTTCAAATCACTGGCAGAACAATACAGCCAAGGTAACACCGGCGAGTAGGGCACACAAAGGAAACAGAGCGCGAAGATGAGATAGGCTAACGGTGAGCAATCCGAATGAATGTGTGGGTGGCAGAGAATGCAGGACACCACGTGCAAGCCTGTGCACGTTTGATTCTGCTGGAAACACGCAGAGGGATCGCTGCTGGCATATCCTGTTGGCTGCCTCGCCTCTTCCCTCTCTTTTGCCCCGTCACAGTGTAGTGGCATCCGGGTATCTCTGACAAGGTGGGTCAGGAAGGATGACATGAGGGTGGAAAGCGTCAGTGGAGCTGCTGTGCTCCGATAGCTGCACGTCAATGAGGAGAGATTGTTTCATTTTCTTAACAGCTGGAGAAGACTTCACCTCGGTCATCTCTGAAATCATGATGTATATTCTGCTGGTCTTCCTCACCTTGTGGCTACTGATAGAAATGGTCTATTGCTACAGGAAAGTCTCTAAGGCAGAGGAGGCTGCCCAGGAAAATGCGTAAGTGTGAAATCTCTCCAGATGCGAGCTGTTCTGCGAGGGTTCTTCAGATGTCTCAGGCCAGATCAGACTGCAAGAAGACTGAACTGTGCTGTTGCACGTTTCTAGCTGATGTTTGCTATGTCTGGAATAATTGTGATGTTTAGGAGTACCAAAAAAGATGGTGAACTTGTACGGTGAGGGACAATGCACCAGGTAGGGGGGGTGGCCATGGTGTGCGGTATTCCAAAGTGGCCCAGTTTGAACTGCGCAGAGATGCTCTCCTGGAAGGGCTGCTTTCAGAGCTCTGACTCACAGATGCAGTTGACACAGCAGAGATGGTTCTGATTTTTATACTGGCCCATTCCCATCTTTCTACATACTTGGCTTGGATAAGGGTGCTCTTTGTACATGCTAGGAAGGCTGCATGCGTAGGACTTTATGATAGGGAACACTCGGTGTCTGCTCCTGACTGTGCTGAGGAGAGTTTCCTACTGCGAGCATCTTCTACAGGTGACGTTTGTTACCTTGGAGATACTCACAGGCATTCAATCTCTCTGTAAGGGTGAATAGACCCGACCTGGCTTTTGCACTGTAGCACCTGAGGTCATTCTTTCCTCCTTCCCTCCAACCACAGGACAGACTATCTTGCGATTCCATCAGAAAACAAGGAAAACTGTGCCGTGCCTGTGGAGGAATAGCAGAGAGGCATCGGCGGAACAAACGGCACCAAGGTAGGCAATGAGGAAACGGTCAGTCACTGCTTGTGTCTGTCAACCTTTCAGCCTTTCTACAGCAGGCTAGGCGTGCCTGGGGCTGGCGAAAAAGTGGGCGGGAGACTCCTGGAGTCTGGCTGTGCTCCTCCTCTGGAGCTTCCCCAGTGACCTTAGAAGCAATATAGGTATCTTTAGGTGGCGGGTGTACTCATACTACTTTAAACTCCTAATCAGCACGCACGTTCGCTTTTCAGGCCATGGTGTAATTACTCCTCCTTTCCCCATTCCTGTGGAGTTGGGAATAGCCACTGTCCCCTGCAGACCGGGAGCTGTGCTCAGGGGGAAGACAAGAGCGCTGTCTCCAAAGGAAGCGTCTGCTGGGACTGACTTTGTGTGCAAAAGACCAAAATCTAGATCTTTTAAAGTCTTGTTCACATTCTGTCAGTTATCGTGCTAATTACATCACGATCCCTACTTCAGTAAGGTCAAATGACTCGCGCTCCAAGAGGAATTCTCTCAATTGCAGGGGCTCTGAAGACAGAAGGACCACGTCATGCCAGCCAGGTTTGAGGGGGAGCTCTGCGCCGTCAGGAGGAAATACGGGGAAGTGTAAATTCTCTTCCGTTTGCCTTGGACTCTGTACAGCCTTGACTTTGGCCTCATGACTCCATTCTGAGCCGCCAGCCCATTTGCTAAAGGACTCTTCTTTTGAAGCATGCTGAGCAAAGGGCACAGGGGTGTGGGCAGCACGGCTCCTTTCCCAGTTTCAGTCCCATCATCACGTTAATGGCTTTGTAAATGTTAAGTGTCATTTCTTAGCTGCTGTCACCACCACCTTTCTTTGCTAAATATGCTAGTTCTCCATTGCAGAGGTAAAGGGTATGTATGTCACGCTACTCCGACCTGCAGGACTGGGAATGAGATCATCTTAGGGTGATGTTCCATTACATGTTACAGCCCAAGCAGTCGTATCGGGGTTAAAACAGGAAGAATTTACTCCCATTAGTTGTTACTTGGCAAGTTGCTCTGGACTTTGGGCTGCCTGTGCACAGGCAGAGTCGCATGAGGACTCTAATGTATTAGAATTGTTGAAAATGCGTAGTGGGAAGGACAATACCCTGTGCCATGTTCACACTTGCTTCTGAAGGAGGGAACTGAGAGTATAGATCCTGAAGTACCCCTACTTTGGGAGGCAGTATATAATATACGTAAGTATAAGAATCCCCTGTACCCCCCCCCCATCTCATTTAGCAAGTGTCAAAATCCTTAGTTCCTTCCGTTTACCCTCTATAGCAGGTTTACTCCTCAAGTACGCAGAGACCCAGTGATAGGAATAACCTGCGGAGCCACGTTCTGCAACAACAGGCAAGCCCATAGGACAAGGTATGCAGTTCACCTCTTTCTGGGGAAACCCCCAAAGGAAGACCGCCTGATGCAATTGGGCAAGCAAAGTTAAACAGGATGTGTAGCCCTCGCAGGACAAGGACGGGCAGCTTTGTAAAACGGTAGTACTTTTTGTAGCTGTGATAGTCTTCTCGTACTGTAGCGTAGCACCACCTAGAGGAGTAGACAGAAACCGCTTTTTCCTAGTTACTTGTTAACTCTTCCTTGTGATAATTAGTCACTGGTTCGAATAGTCTGCGTTCATCATATATGATCCACTGCTGCACAGGAATCACGCTGTGAATTCGGTGTTCCCTTATGCAAACTCACCTCTCAACTGTAGTGGATTAAGCAGAGTAAAGTGTGTTTTCTGGCCTCAAATGTAGATCAGTTGAGCTCAACAACTGGTTTTACAAGGCGAGAAGGAAGAAAAAAAAAAAAAAAAAAGGCAGAAACATTGTCCGGGGTGGAATTGTACCTTAAGACAAAATGGGGGAAGGTTTGTTTTTTTCGTATAGCAGATGTTGTTACATCCCTGCTGCAATGGAGCCTATACTGCTTGCAAGACTTGACTGCACCGATTGCTTCTAAATAGTTACAAAGTGCTTATGAATCAAGGCATGCTTCCTACCTATGGAAATTCCTCTGCTTTGTTCTGCTGCTTTTTATGTGTTGCTGAAATTACTCCATTTGTAAATCAGGCCCAGGCCAGATTTCTAACTGGCAGTTGTTCAAAATTCCTTTTTTTAGAGGGGCTGTAAACTACTACAAGGCCATCTTCACAGTAGGATCGCTTTCAAGTCCAGAGCCTGGCAACTTAAGCATGTTTTCCAGATAAAGCACACTTGTAGTTTGGGCACCGGTTCCTTAAAACCTAATCCCCGAAAGGGGAAAAAGCAGCTTCTCTTCCAATTCAGCTGGATGTCTTCATTTTCCCTAGGCCTACCTGCCTGGCCTCGGGGCAATTTTGAGTATAATCCTAAGTCTAAACCCACAGCAACAGAGGAGGGACTAGATTGCAACTCCAGAGTTTCCGTCACTGACCACGGCATTGACGCCCACAGTGATTTTTAGGTAAGGTCACGTAACCTCTCTCCCACTTCAGCTCTGCTCCTCGGTCCCCGTGAAGCATTGATAACCTTCTGGTGTCATAACGTTAAGTGAAAAATAAAGGTGTAAACTCAGAACTTCTGGAGAGCTACCTCAGTGGTAAAGAAGGGCCGTCGTCTAGTCCTGCACCTTCCGGTATCTTACACGCATCGTAAGATGCTTTTTTGGAGACATATCTTTCACTTTTCCAGTTCCTGCAGACAGATATGACTATTGCCCTGTGTTGTTCTAGGCAGGAGAAAATGGTGTGTAAATCTTCCTCGAGGTTCTTGTAGCTTAAAAAAAAAAAAGGGGGGGTGTGGATTTTTCAAGGGTGGTGTTGAAGGCAGGCTGTGGCCTGGAGGAGACGGTCCTGGTTGGTCTCTGAAAAGATTCTCTCTGTATTTGGAAGCGACGGAAGGGACTTTAGAATAAGCAGGATAATAAAAGAACAAAGCACTCACAAGTCGCACTGTTTGTTTGATAGAATTTTTTTTTTTTAATTTATACCGTACTTCCATTGTACTAGCTACTTTACATTAAGTTTTGGCTGCATAGCCTTTACAATTCCTAGGTTCTAGCAGGTAAGTTTCATTATCATTTTACCGCGTTTTGCGCACAGCGCAAAGTTTATGACAGTTAGACAACTCCTAAAACAAAACCACGGTTCCTTCCCCCACCCCACCCTAGAGTTCACGTTAGCGCTACAGGCACGTCGGCCTTGGGCAACAGCCCCCCGCTTGCCGGGCTCTGGTGGTGAAATCCAGGAGGGAAGTGCGCGCCTGCGGGCGATTGTACGACCCGCTCCCGTTCCTTGCCGACGCGAGGCCATCCTCATTAATTTGCAGTCATGCACAGCAAGTGGGGTTGTGGGATCCAGGGCCTCGGGTGGGGAGAACACGCTCCAGGTTTGTAGCAGCTTTATCCAGCCCTGGAGCATGTGACGGGAGGTGAACTGCCATGAGAACAGCAACATCCCAGACGTGCCACAGCCACACGATGACAGTCCTGGGCGGTTGTAACACTGCAACGGTTCTGCTGCTGCTCCTTCCTCCCCCCTGAGCTCATCGGGCCAAGAGCCAGGTTAGTGCTTCCATATCGGCGCCGTTAAGTGCTATTACAAAGGGAGGTGGGCTTGCGAAGATGGGGAATGATGTGCATGTAGCACAGGCTCCACCTCTTTGCTGGATAAAGTCGCCATTTTGTAACGGCCGCTCTCCCAAATCCTAATGCCGCTGGAGCAGATTGGGCCGCAACTGGGACACGACCCAATGGCTCTAGAACCTGAGCTGGCCATTGGTTTTATTCCCTAACTATTCTCAGAGCTTGGGTTGGGGAAGGTGGCCATTTAACGTTAGCGATGGAATTGGCCTAAATGAGTGAGGTAACAGAAACGGCCAGAGGAGGTACCTCCCTGAGCCATGTGCAAATATAATTCCTTCAGCAGAAGGAAGTCCTTTTACCTACTGAAAAAAAAAAAAACCACATTCACTTAAAGAGCATACAGACTGCGGCAAGGAAAGGCAAGCAGGGACAGCACCAGGTCAGTCCACCTATGACACGGGAATGATTGTCCAGCAGGAGAGGTGTGAGGGGACAGGGAAAAGCCATAGCAAGTGCTGCAAAACGTATGTGGGAGAGGAGGGCATGGCACGCCACGTATCCATACTGTGTTAAGCCCATGCTGTCTGGCTAGATCGGGAAATAATCTCAATCGGCAGTCGATCAAGACATGAGATTATTTGGCCAGCGTGCACATCTAGAAAAAGAAAGGTATTATGGCACAGAGAGACTCGTGCTGTAGAGACTGCAAAGCATAGAGAGACAGAGCATGCCAGGCGGGGGGAATGGGCCAGAAAGTCAGCACAGTTGCCTCTCAGAAACTACGCCGACACAAATGTTTTGTGAGCCACTTACCTCAAATGCTTTGGTTTAAGAGTCTCTGTTTCGAGTACTGTTTTAAGCGAACCCCTGCTGGGTATTTTAACTAGTGCCGAGACTGTCTGAAATGACTAAGCCAGAGTCCACATGGCTGCGCCATGAAACGTGTCAGTGGCAGGAA